GTCCTCACACAAGCAGTCCTTAACACTGACTGTCCTCACACAAGCAGTCCTTAACACTGGCTGTCCTCACACTAGGAGTCCTTAACACTGGCTATCCTCACACGAGCAGTCCTTAACACTGACTGTCCTCACACTAGGAGTCCTTCACACTGACTGTCCTTACCCAAGGAGTCCTTAACACTGGCTGTCCTCGCACAAGGAGTCCTTAACACTGGCTGTCCTCACACAAGGAGTCCTTAACACTGGCTGTCCTCACATGAGCAGTCCTTAACACTGGCTGTCCTCACACTAACTGTCCTTAACACTGACTGTCCTCACACAAGCAGTCCTTAACACTGGCTGTCCTCACACAAGGAATCCTTAACACTGCCTGTCCTCACACAAGCAGTCCTTAACACTGGCTGTCCTCACACAAGGAGTCGATAACACTGGCTGTCCTCACACAAGGAGTCCTTAACACTGACTGTCCTCACACTAGGAGTCCTTAACACTGGCTGTCCTCACACAAGCAGTCCTTAACACTGGCTGTCCTCACACTAGCAGTCCTTAACACTGGCTGTCCTCACACAAGCAGTCCTTAACACTGGCTGTCCTCACACTAGGAATCCCTAACACTAGCTGTCCTCACACTAGGAGTCCTTAACACTGACTGTCCTTACACTACGAGGCCTTAACACTGACTGTCCTCACACTAGCAGTCCTTAACACTGGCTATCCTCGCACAAGGAGTCCTTAACACTGGCTGTCCTCACACTAGGAGTCCTTAACACTGGCTGTCCTCACATGAGCAGTCCTTAACACTGTCTGTCCTCACACTAACTGTCCTTAACACTGACTGTCCTCACACAAGCAGTCCTTAACACTGGCTGTCCTCACACTAGGAGTCCTTAACACTGCCTGTCCTCACATGAGCAGTCCTTAACACTGTCTGTCCTCACACTAGGAATCCTTAACACTGCCTGTCCTCACCAAGGATAGAGGACGTACATTTGTCACCGAGGCACTTGCTGACTGTATGGCATCCTACGAGTATTCCTGACTATTATTTTCCATGCTTTTGTCAAGTGATAGACGCCATTAAGAGTTCTACTTGCCATAAGATGTTTCTTTGAAATCTTTGACACCTTGGCCGCATTGATACGTATGTTATCAATACTGGTCCTCTGGAATTTCAACTATAACTGCAAAACCAGATATTGTTTTTAATTAAAACGATGAACCGATTTTTTTTGGATTTTTTTTAAAAACACCTTGGAACAATGTAATATTTTATGCAACCAATTTCTTCTTCTTTTTCAAAAAATTGAAGCATAACTATGTTTGGTTTACCCCCGGGCAGACAGTGTGACGTGATAAAGTCCGTTCTGTGTTTTATTTTCGCATTCTATGCCATGAACCAGCACAAAGAGAACATTACTCTGCAAATACAGTAGGTAGCCGATAACGACCCTCTACGTGCAGTCCTCACACCGTCAATTAGCAGTCGATTAGCAGTGAGACATTATCCTGTTTTACACGCAATTATTAATAAAGGTATGCAAATAGTCGCCAACTGATTATCAATTATCATCCACATGCGCTTTCTCATGATAACCACACGACCCTCACAAACAGTCGACTACAATAGCAAATATAGAGTCGAGCAGGCCATAGATTTTGTCACTTGAGCATAGACTACTCGCAAGATACTCTTCAGTGGGGACACTCCAACTGACCCTCAATCAGCAAGCCGAATAACACGACTCGTTTCCATGGAATCCGAAAGCCCAGTATTTTACATATCAAGATGGCTTTGAAAATTATTTCTATTATTTTTAAGTCTTCAGAGTGAAAGAATTTAGTAATTTTCATTTTAAGTTCAATGGGAGACTGGTAGTGACGCATAATCCAAGGAAACTGTTGAAGGATAAGAATTCAAGATGGCCGTCAAAATTGCGGATGTAAATTAGGCCAAATAAAATCTTGTGATGTAGAGATTTGAATGGGCACAGCATAAAACTTTCACAAAAATGTCTACAAACCTAAAAACGTGATATGTCTCCCGATATTATTTACTAGGGGCTCCTATATGTTTTAATGTTTCTAGGGGCGGTCGGGTAGCCTAGTGGTTAAAGCATTCGCTCGTCACGCCGATGACCCGGGTTCGATTCCCGACATGGGTACAATGTGTGAAGCCCATTTCTGGTGTCCCCCGCCGTGATATTGCTGGAATATTGCTAAAAGCGGCGTAAAAACATACTCACTCACTCACTGAAATGTTTCTGAAGAGGAGAACCTCAGGGAGACAAGCCAGTCTCGCTTTCATAAACCTCGTTCTGATCAGGTCCCGAGAAAATGGGTTTTAGATTAATCTCGATACACAATCAACATCGACTGCCATAAAAACTAATCCTTACAAACATGACACACGATGAACCAACGATATGTTTTTAATAATACGGCACAGAAGCCAGGGGTTCTGAAGTAATGAGACCCACTGGTGTCATTGCACTGCACTACACTGGCTTCTCTCTTGTATTCGATGTAGGACAGTCTTGACAAAGATTATTCCCCGGTGGCCATGGTTTAGGTGCAAACCACAATGGCGCCTGTAGCTTTGGTTGGTGCACTGAAAGCCCAGCCGTCAATTTAATTTAATGCATTCTCTCTAACAGTGAGGTGAAATGGGTTTCACCTAGCGTTCAAGATTATTGCACTTATATAGCGACACGCATGCACGTCTGTGTGCGTGCGTCCGTGCGTCTGTGTGACTAGTGACTAGTATCTGTGCTTGTACTAGTCCCGACCAGTACCGGTTTGATAGTGCTAGCCCACTGGTATACCATGCCGTAGTAAAACTTGGATATCTCACACCTACCAGACCATAGAATCCTTGTTTTATCCCCTGGGCGGTGGCTAATGATAAGTATGATGATGATGATGATGCCGACTGCATGGCTTTACCGATCTGTTTTCTATATGTGTCACTTTCTTGCTCGATGCGGACGCCTCCGTGGTCTAGTTGTAGAATGTCCGTCCGGAGAGCGGAAGGTCCGGGGTTCGATTCCCCTGGACGCGTCATACCAATAGACGTTAAAATATGGTACTTGTTGTTACCCTGCCTGGCGCTCGGCATTAAGGGTCTAAAACAAGGACTGGTCTGCTCGGAGTCAGTATACTGTGTCTGAGTGGGGTATTCATGTCAAACTACGGCATGGTATCTCAGTGGGCTAGCACTATAAAATCGGCATCAGTCCGGACTAGTGACAGGCAGACACGTCGTGCACGCCGCTATATAAGTGCAACATTCTTGGACGCGACGTTGAAACCTCATTTCACCTTACCTCGACTCTTGCTCGATGCTGTATTAATACGTTTTGGGATAAAACAAAAAACGCCTCAAAGTTAAATAAGTCATTTAACTGTCGGCACAAACAAGACGTTTGTTAAGATAGATCAGGGTAGCTTGTTGTCGATTCATGAATTTGTTTCTTTGTTGTTTAACACGCACAGGGGTATTCCAGCTACATGACGGCGGCCTGAGGCTACTCCAGACTGGACCAAACAATCCAGTGATTTATAGTATGAGTGAGTGAGTGAGTGAGTTGGGTTTAACGCCGCTTTTAACAGTATTCCAGTTATATCACGGCGTGTCAGCTTAATGTGGTAGGAAAGCCCGAAGTGATGCAGGTCTCAGACGTTTACCACTTCGGTGAAACCCACGAGCACGGGTATGGTGCTGACAAACCTAGAAACATAATCGGGGCGAACCGGGATTCGAACCCACAATCATAGGTTTCTGGCGTGCCCAAGGGACGCAACTCTGCACAGCGAATCGCGGCGCCTTAGACGACTGGGCCACCCGTGCCCCCGATTTATAGTATGAGCAACGATCCGTGTCGTCAGGGTATGATGATACGTCATCAACCAAGTCACCGAGCATGACCACCAGGTTCATTAAGTCGCCTCTATCAACCAGCATAGATAACAGGGACCTCTTTTAACCTGGAATACCCACGGAGTGTTTCATGCTGTTTTGACCCGTGAAGATCCGGGGTAGAGTAGGTCTTCAGCAACCAATGCTTGCCGTAAGAGGCGACTATGCTTGTCGTAAGAGGCGACTAACGGGATCGGGTTGTCAGGCTCGCTGACTTGGTTGATGCATGTCATCGTATCCCAGTTGCGTGGATCGATGTTGATGTTATCAATAAGTGGATTATCTGGTCCAGACTCGATTATTTACAGTCCGCCGTCATATAACTGGAATATTGCTGAGTGTGGCGTTAAACAGCAAACAACACACACAACACATCATGCTGTTGTGTCAAAGAGGAAGCAACAACTCGCATTTCTTTCCATTACAATCTGCCCAAAACCACTGCTGGGGAATGAAAACAACTAGACATTTCGCCATTACGTGTACAAGAGCACCTCATTTGTTTAGCAGAACTTGAACTCAACATTTTGAATTTTACAAGTTTTAATTTTAAAAAATAACAGAAATCTTTTTTTTTAAAATAGGCCAATCTCAAGGTAAATGTCACGCCACTACACTTGGAGTTTAAAAGATATAGAGGATTTTGATGTTCGCGCTTTTATACAAAATCACAATTTGAAAAACAAAGAGGACGGCAAGTTTGAATTTAAAAAAATGTAGAAATCTTCAAAAAAAATATTAGGCCAAACTCCAGCCCAATTACAAGTCAACATACTTGGAGTTTTAAAGAAAAAGAAGGTTGAGATTTTTTTGTGTTTTAATACAAAATCACAATATGAAAAACAAAGAGGACGCCCACTGTCATGTTTGTCTTTGGGTATACGTTAACTCTTTAACGCCAAAGCAAAATACCACCGTCAGAAATAATGAAGCCACATAATACTTGTGAAAATTAATTAATATTTATAACCACAGCCTCGGCATGACCCTTTACGTCAACATCACTGAATAAGCACACGTTAGATGACGTCTCCGAGAGGCCGTTTGCACCTGTTACAATATGGCCATCGTTCGTTTGGTTACATAATGTCACGTGACCACGGCGACTTGGATCACCCGCAGCAGGCAGGCTGTCCAACGAGTCATGGTCTGGCAGCACACAGTAACGCTCCTGAAACACGCCCTCTGGTCGATATAAGGTTGGGAGCTAGGTATGTAAAACGAATGTGGCCACTCGACTTGGACCAAACGTCGCTCTGACAGTTACTGCTCGATGCGGTGATTCCGTGAAGGTGGGTTGATTTAATTTTTCAAAATGTCTGTTGTTTTAATAGTTCTAAATATTTCCATGACAAATGAGGTATACACAATTCAGCGTATGACTTGATCTGGCAGGTAAAGTCTAAGGTGTAATGAGAGAGATGAGTATCTGTCTTCATCTTCAGATTCGGACGCAGGGGACCACTGGTCTTGAACTTAAGGGCTAAAGAAATTATACCTCTCAGTTAGGCAAGGCTGTACCGACAAGTCGCCTTTCAAGTAGTGAGTGAGTTGGGTTTAGCGCCGCTTTTAACAGTATTCCAGTTATATCACGGCGTGTCAGCTTAATGTGGGAGGAAAGCCCGAAGTGATGCAGGTCTCAGACGTTTACCACTTTGGTGAAACCCACGAGCACGGGTATGGTGCTGACAAACCTAGAAACATAATCGGGGCGAACTGGGATTCGAACCCACAATCATAGGTCTCTGCACAGCGAAACGCGATGCCTTAGACGACTGGGCCACCCGTGCCCCCTGGGCGTAGGGTAGTATAGGAGTTCAATCTTGACGCTGAAGACCCTCCCTGGTGTCCTCCTTCGAGCAGTTGCTAGAATATTTCTAAAAGTGGTGTAAAACCCAACTCACCCAATCGAGGCTTTGTCTTACCAGTTTATAAATAGACAATTGTGACAATTTATTTAGGTCTATTTAATTAATTTACGAATTTTCTTCAACATACTACTATACGTGAAAACCGGTGTGCACACACCCAATAAATAATTTATAAATAAAAAAATCAACAGACACGTGAAGATCCGGGGTAGAATTAAATAGGTCTTCAGCAACCCATGCCTGCCATAAAAGGCGACTATGCTTGTCGTTAGAGGCGACTAACGGGATCGGTTGGTCAGGCTCGCTGACTTGTTGGATGCATGTCATCGTATCCCAATTCTGACAATCCGGGTAATGCAGAAGGCTGCAGTGTTGGGGAGTCTCCACATTCTTCGAAAAGTTCTGGGTTGGTTTGACTAGGCAGCGCATCCTGGGACAAGTCCCATTCGCTGTCTGGGCTGCGTGTAGAGGGGGCAAGGGCCCTGAGCTGATGATGAGTCTTACCAGCCATTTCGGTCGATTGCAGGGTTTGCAATGCATGTGTACCGCCAGTCCCGTATTATCACAATTATAGATGTTGATATCGATCAGATCGTCTTGGCCGGGTGTCGCCATGTTGTTTGAAGCAAATGCAAGTGATATGAGAGGTGGAAAGGAGGGACATAGAAGGGACATAACTCGTAATATCCACTGGTGGTGCCACGAGTATGGCGCTGACAAACCTAGAAACATAATCGGGGCGAACCGGGATTCGAACCCACAATCATAGGTTTCTGGCGTGCCCAAGGGATGCAACTCTGCAAAGCGAATCGCGGCGCCTTAGACGACTGGGCCACCCGTGCCCCCCGCCTTTCAAGTAAATATAGAAGTTGTTATCCATAAAATTATCTCTATTTTGTCATCCGTCAACTTCTATGTAATGCCTATCAAACAATTTATACCTCTCAGCTGTTTTTATCATATGTTTGATTTTCAATTGAAATTATCTTAAGTTATCGATATTATATGTAAAAAATACTGTACTGGCGCTTAGTCAGCACTAAAACAATACTTCTACGTGGTTTTATTTTAAAAACTATAATTTGATTTAAAACTGTTTAAACTTTTTTTTTCGCATAATACACAACCGCTGATCGGCATCTCAAACGTCTAATCTTTGAAAATCAATAAAAGTAGGGGTTTTTTTGCACAAATTTCAAACTTGTCAGTGGTCAAGTGGTTGCAAAGTTATTTATTTATATTTCACAAACTGTTGCAGGAATGAGTGATGGTTAAATAGACATAATTAAATTTAACAACAGTTCTTCCAATCTTCAATCACATGAAAAACAAAATTGGTATTCTTTCTTTTTGCCCCTTAGTTTCGTTGTTCTGAGTTTCCTCCCCTAGTTATGCCAGGATCCTCAGACCTTGTGATCTAATCTCCATTCTGCCCCGAGAAACCATGTTTCTATATTTAAAAATCATCGTAAACTATGTCTTAAATATCACAGTTGCAAAACCCAACAATGATGTTTATCGCTAGCAATGAAAAGAGCACTTTGAGAGCAAGTCATATTCATTATCGCCGGAATAGCTTGTTTTCATTTTAAAAGTACAAGAAATAATAGAGTTATCTTCATTAATTATTTCGTGATTCTATTTCAAGTAGCAAGGACTATGGTAAATATGTCATTGTCAGCATTCAGTGAGGACTTCACACAGTTTTCGTACAATTCGTCAAGGTACATGATACGGAAAAAAGAAGATCCGTTTTTTGCAAAGCGGCCTTTAACTATACCAATTCAGTACGAATATACAAAATAGTCAAAGACAAAGGACCCACGTTTTAAAAGAACGTTGAGACAGAGGGGCCCTCGCAATACATACACCTGGAAAAGTTTAAGAAGCCTCTCTCTTTAATTTCATATACTCCGAACCTGCATGTACCTTATGGTAAATGTCCAAGATACTGCAGACATCTTGTGGCATCATGGTACAACAACAGTGTATGTTCCTCCAGATGGCCACAATGACTGGATCATGTCACATGATGCGAGGAGTGAGTGAGTGAGTGAGTGCGTATGGTTTTAGCAATATTCCAACAATATCAGGGCGGGGGACACCAGAAATGGTCTTCACACATTGCACCATGTCGGGAATCGAATCCGAGTCTTCGGCGTGACGAGCAAACGCTTTAACCACCAGCCTACCCCACCGTCCCATAATGCTTTGTTTGTTTGTTTGTTGTTTAAATAATCGAGTCTGGAACAGATAATCCAGTAATTAACATCATTAGCATCGATCCACACAATTGGGATACGATGACATGCATCAACCAAATCAGCGAGCCTGACCACCCGATCTCGTTAGTTGCCTCCTACGACAAGCAGAGTCACCTTTTACAGCAAGCATGGGTTGCTGAAGACCCATTCTACCCCGGATCTTCACGGGTCCCCCATAATGTAAAGTAGTGATGGAATCAGTGGGAAGGGGAATCACATACCACTGACGTGGAACTGTTACCAAATATGCCATCACATGACCGGTTTCGGTTTCTGTATTAAAATATGAATAGGTCATTTTGTACCCCAAAGCATATGTGTTTCGTCAAAAAATTAATACAGGGCAGGATTTTTCAAAATAAATTTGTATATGGAATAATATGATAAGTAGAAAGACTTGAATATTTTTCCAGGTGCATATAATATACCAGTATTGTCGGATAGTATATGCGCCCTAATTGCTTAAATCGGTGCATGATATCAATCACTGGATTGTTTGGTCCAGATTCGAATATTTATAGACGGCATTTATATAGTTTGAATATTACTGAGTCCAGCGTTAAACAACAGAGAAACCAACGTTCACGTTGCACATTTGAAAGGCGTGGCATGACAAATGGCCTTAAAGACTTGTTTTCTTGTTTTTTTAATGACTGCTAACAAGTATCGCTGAAAACACGTGCGGTATTATGGCCACGTGACCAGTTGCACGTGAAAAAAACACTTTTGCCACTATAGTGCTGTTCACATGATTTTGATCGATTCACCTGCACAAAAACGGGTGTTATCTGAAGACAATACGTGGCCATTACTGTTTAAATACACAATAAGGGCCCACAATGATAACTGGTCAAAATGTTAAAATTTTAGGATTGTGAAGTTTTTAATTTGGTTCAGTATACTTGCAAACATATTTGGGGAGAGACGTTAATAATGGGTGTGGCACTGACAGACGTGAGATAATGTCTATTGACTGTGCTGCTGCTGATGTTGTTGATGTTGATGATGATGATGATGATGATGATGATGATGATGATGCTAATAATGATGATGATGATGATGATGTGATGATCTTGGTCATTATGTTGTTGCTGGTGTCATTGGTGATAATTATGATAAACAGATATGATAGGTGTATTTGCAAACACTCAGTAGCACAATTTGTAAATTTTTAAATTCAAATTTTAAATATATTTTTTTTATTTCAAGCCAACTCGCTCCTCTTGATAATACACGGGTGGGCAAGTGCAATTGTATCCCTTAGACCCAAGGGACAATTAAACATCCATTGAACCGAATCCTAAATTCGACCTCATTATGATTCGTGGTCTATCAGCACCATGGTCGTGTTCGTAGGTTTCCCCAAAGCAGTAAACTTAGGAGACTGCCGCGGATACCTGAAATATTGCTCAATGGAGCGTTAAACCGAATTGATGGGGAGAAAAATAGCATCCAACAAGGGTCGACTCCTTTTCTTAGCTTTACACTTCCACAGAACTATCAAATCATATATAACTTCAATCATATATAATGGAAAATATCCTTTAATAATGTCACAATTTGTGTTAATTCATATCATGTAATTTAAACAAAATATTCTCATACAACACATATAACAGGCAAGAATACGCCGGACAGAATCTGGTTAATTCAGATTCTTTATTACAGTATAAAGGCCAAAGGCCCATAATACATGCTTGATTTTATTAACATGTACTGCGCTTACGCTGATATAAAGGCAGATGTACAATCATATGCAAGAAAGTGTGGTACATGTTTCAAATGTTGCCAACAGTTGTTTAACATTAAGACATTATGTTTCATTGAACTATAAATATCACTCATCATTTAAGAGTGCAGTTCCGTGTTTATAAACTTTATGTAAATACTGACAAGTATTATGAATAACATAATTATCTGATGACCTAATACTTTTGCAAGAAAGTGTGGTACATGTTGTTTAACATTATAAATAGTGTGTTTGAATGAACTATAAATATCACACATCCTTTAAAAGTTAATCAGCGATAGAAATTGGTAGTCCTTGCCAAACAGCCCAATAGTTAAGGTATCATAAGGACTAGTAGAAATTTACCATTTGTATGGGTTTTGCTATATGTTATCCTAATAAGGACTAGTAGGCTAAAACTGTTAGTT